ACAGATGAATGGATCAAGAAGATGTGGTTTATCTATACCATGGAATACTACATGGCAATGAGAAACAATGAAATCTGGCCATGTGTAGCAACATGGATGGACCTTGAGGGTGTTATGCTGAGCGAAATAAGTCAGGCAGAGAAGGACAAATATCATATGTTTGCACGTATAGGAGGATTAGGAGGAACTTGACGGAGGGCCAAGGGGGAGAAGAAGGGCAGAAATGGTGGGGGAAAGGGAGAGAGGCAAACCATGAGAGACTCTTGAATGCTGACAAAAACTGAGGACTGATGGATGTGGGGGGGAGGGGGGGATGGGCATGGAGGAGGGCACTTTGGGGATGAGCACTGAGTGTTATGTGGAAACTAATTTGACAATAAACTATTTATAAAAAAAATAAATAAATAAAAAATAAAGTAATCTCTATACCCAACATGGAGCTCAAACTCACAACCCCCAAATCAAGAATCACATGCTCTTGTGAATGGGCCAGCCAGGTGCCCCTATATCTTTTTTCTCAGGCAAAGAAGAGCTCAAGAAGGAGGTAGTCAAGTATTCGGATTTCAAGCAACAATTTCCATCTCCACACAGACGAGGAAACCCTTTTTTCTTGCTAAAAAAAATATAAGTGCTTAAGCAGAATTCTTGTCAATAAATTAGGTCATTCAAGTTAGCATGCCAATCTTGAAAGAGGGACAGTGCAAGAAAAAGATAAATGTATCTAGGATTCTATTAGTTATATGAGAAATCAAATTCTCTAAGTTATACACAGAGCAGAAAAGAGAATGGCTAAAAGAAAAATAAAACAGTAGCAATAGCTATTTCTTACTTCAAGGAAAATAACCTAATAATTTTACAGAATCAGATTCTCTGGGTTGAAAAGGCATTTAGTCATTTAGGTCATTTAGTTTGGGGTGCCTGGATGGCTCAGTCGGTTAAGCGGCCAACTCTTGATTTCAGCTCAGGTCATGAGCTTACTATCAGAAGGTGCCAGACCCAGAGGCTTCAGAGGCCTTGAGTCCATGTCCTGTGAGAAATGGCCAAAGCAACAGGGGTGTCCAAGTAGGAGAAGAGGAGATACAACAAGCGATGAAAATTACCTTCAGAGAGTCAAAGGACTGTTTTTTGGAAGAGGTACTAGAGTTACTGACCAAGGTCCCAGAAATAAATTTAAGAAATGGCAAATAGAATTATAAGAAAACAGGTTTTCGTTTAGTAATGAAGAAATTTCTAATAGCTGTCCTGAGATAAAATGTGATAACTCTTATCACTAAAACAGGCATATATGCTCAGGGCTGAGAGAAAAGAGAAAAAAAACATTAGATAGGAAGATGGACTAAATGACCTTTATTTTTTTGCTGGTTTTTGTTTGTTTGTTTAAAGTTTATTTATTTTGAGACAAAGAGAGAGTCGGGGAGGGGCAGAAGTAGGAGGAGAGAGAGAATCCCAAGCAGGTTCCATGCTGTCACTGCAGAGCCCAACACAGGGCTCGATCTCATGAACTGTGAGATCGTGACTTGAGCCGGTTGAAGGGTTGGACTCTGAACTGACTAAGCCAACCAGATGCCCCATAAAGTCATCTAAATCGAATCTGTCTAAATCTCTTTTAAAATACCTTTTATTCCTGTTTCAACCATAAAACCAAATTATATACAATTTAGACATTATAGATGTGCATAAATGGCAATTTGAAAGTGCTTTATAATTCCACCCCCCAGAATGTCAAGAGTTACTATTTTTCCCTATATATACTTGTACTATCATACATACGACATATATAGCATCATACTTGATATACCCTTTCACAGCTTTCTTTTTCCACATGGCAATATGTATTAGCCATACTTCCATATCAGGATATATAGCTACCTCATTTTAAGAGCAACACGAGTATTCCACCAGATGGATATCCACTGAGAGACAGTTAGCTATTTTTAATATTTTACTTACATAAACATTATAGCAAATGTCCATGTATATATTTATATATAGTACATATATAATATCTTCATACATTCTTGCTACCATTTCTACAAGATGCACTAGAAATGTGTATTATATGTAATAACTATTATATATAACATTTCCAATATATAGAACATAAGGTATTTCCATTTAAATTTGGATAATTCTGTCAATTTGCCTTCCTTTTTTTAATTTTATTTAATTTTTTTTAATGTTTACTCATTCTTGTGAGAGAGAGAGAGACAGAATGAGCGGGGGAGGGGGAGGGAGAGAGACAGACAGACAGACAGACACAGAATCTGAAGCAGGCTCCAGGCTCTGACCTGTCAGCACAGAGCCCGATGCGGGGCTCCAACTCATGAACTGTGAGATCATGACCTGAGCTGAAGTCAGATGCTGAACTGACTGAGCCACTCAGGCGCTCCTGTCAATTTGCTTTCAAAAAGTTTTTGCCAATGTATAGTTTCACCAACAATGTTGTTGTTGAAAACAAATACAAACATTAGGGACAGTCCTAATTAAACATTAGGGACCAAGTCCTCGTGGCAGGGGGCTTCACCGTCCCCATTTGGATAAGAACGTCATATAATGCAGCCCAAGATGGTATTCGTCTTTTGTGGAGCCATGTCACACAGTGCATAGTCAACTGCAACTTGTAAAACCTTTTGCACAAATGTCTGTTAAACCACATCTTCCCCATTTTATGTTCAAGAAGTTTTGTTTTTAGACCTGAGGACAAAGAAGTCTCTAGAGAATATAGTCAAAGCAACACAAAACATGGGCTTACCAATTCATTTTTCGTGTTTAGGTTACTCTCCAGCTCCTCATAGCTCTGCTTTTGTAACATGGCCTCCTCTTTCAGTGATTTGTTCAATTTATCTTGACTTTTAATTTCCTCAAGGAACCTTGTCTGTGCGCTCCTAAGCTCTTCGGTTTCCATTATCTTCTTTTCCAGGTCTCTTTCCAGTCTCTCTACCTCTTCTGCCAACACAAATGTAATAGTTTCTTGAGCATTATATTTTCTACTTGAAGAAAGATAAGAATATCTCTCAAATAATAGCAAAAGAAGTCTTACAACAGTATAGGTACAATTCTACTTTGAAAACTATTCACTCTGGTTTTGGGAGGGAAAAGACTATCTTGAGCTAGAAAGTGATTTATACTAAGAGGTAAGAAGGCATTATCATTTGGATAACAATTTTAAAAGGTAACACACTGCTTCCAAGTATTTCATTCAATTAGTATGCTGGTAAATGAGGTTTTCTTCAGGTCTCCTACTTTTTTAAAAAAGATGCAATACTTTACCTCAAATTAGTAATTACACTTTAGAGGATGCTGCAGGCATGTTTGCAAAATACTATGTGATCTTAAAAAACCTTCAAAGGCTTCCAACTATGCTTAGGATAGGATCCAAAATGCTTACAAGAAGAAGTGACAAAGCTCTACATGATTTGGTCCCAAAGTCCCTCTCCAGCCTCATTTTCAAGTTCACCCCATTGCAGTCTTTCTGAAGTGACTACTTCTTCAGATCTGTGACGCCTCTTCTTACCTGCAAGGCTTTTATTCACACTTTCTGCCTGGAACTTCCTTCCTCTATCTCCTACTGGCCTATTTTGTACCCTCCAGGTCTCAGTTTTGAAAAGTATGTGGAGAAGCCTGCCCCTGACTCTATCCTGTGCCCAGGTGACATGTTTCCCAGGTGTGCTCTTAGGTCACCCTGCACCTCTGCTGTGGCCTTCGTCACCCAATGAGTTGTAAAATGTGATCAAATGGCGAGGCTGTCTTCCCTTCCCACTAAAGCTTTGTAAAAGCAGAAACTGCATGTGTCCGGCTCACTACTGGAGCCCAAGAGCCTTCAAGGCTCCTAATTAATATTCAAAGTCATAATCGTAGGTAATTTAAACATTTGCCCCAAAACCTTATTTATATGATGACTTTCCTTTGCATTGTTTATGTTTCCAAAACATAAACTTCATTGTTAATGACTCCAAAACATAAACTTCAGGGTAACAAATATGGAGTTAGGGGATTCAAACTAATAAAAATGTGTCATATTTCCCAAGTATGAGATCAAACTATAATGAAACGGCTGTTTTTGTAAGTCAAAATGGCCTAACATCAATTTCAAATGATAGAACATAGACTCATTTCCTAAAGCTCTAACATAACTATTTCATATCTTCCTCTTCCTCTTCAAGCCTCTCATGCTCCTTTCATTTTCTTTCTCAGCTGATGACCTCCCATTTCACTGAGAAAGCAGATCGCACCCCTGGGAACTTTCTCATTTTCCCACTACCAAAGTAATAAAACTACCCATACCTGCACACATCTTTGCTCCCTTCTGATCGTGCCCCTGTTCTCAAGAAACAATCTTTCCTCTTTTTCTCTGATCCCATCTGGTCTTTTCAAGGGCCATAAGAATTGAGCCATGATTGTCTCTCCACTCCACTCCTGAATATTCTCTTTCTTTCTTTGGTTACTAGGCTTTGAGGTTTCCTGCATTCGGTTCTGCCTATTTCCTGGTCTGGAAGCTATAGGTGAAGATTTTTTTCTTTTTAACTTAAAGTCTTTAAAAAAAAATTATTTATTAGGTACTAGGAGAGAGAAATTGTGGGAGGAAACTTTAAATCTTCACCCAAATTATCTCCCTTCCATTCACTCTTGGATCTATATAATCTAGCATTTTTCCAACCACTCCTTATATGTTGCCCATCTAACGCATTTCTCTGTGCTCATCTTATTTTCTCTTTATGTCTTAGCAACATTCAACGTAGCTGACCACTTCCTCTCATGAAATCTTCTTCTTGGGGTTTTGCAACCCACTATTTCCTGGGTTTCCTTTTCCCTTGTTGGCCTCTCTTAGTCTCCTTAGGTCACTCACCTTCTTGCTCTCCCCAGTCCCTGCCTGAGAGAGCCAATCAATTCCAGTGGGATTAAATATCGTTATGCTGACAAACAATATCTCTAGAACAGATCTCTCTGAACTCGACTCACATTTCTAACCCTCTTCTTGGCTGTCTAACAAACATTCAAACTCAGCATTCTGAATTCTCCCTTTTTTATATACAGTATCACCAATCAAGCCACTTACTTAAACCAGAGCCTGGGAATTGTCCAATTCATTAGAAAGTGTTACTGATTCTACCTCCAAAACTGATATACCGCCTAAATACAGGCCACTAACTTCCAGCCTAGATTACCACAACAGCCTTGGAATATGTCCCTTTATCTCCGTTTATTACCTTGCTCCAAATCATTCTCCATCCGCCATTAAAAATCATCTTTTTAAAATAAGTTTAGCTCCAGTATTCTTAACATATAGTGTTATATTAGTTTCAGGTATACAATACAGTGATTCAACAATTCTACACATTACTCAGTGCTCATCATGGTAAGTGCACTCCAAAAATAATCTTAATATGTAAACTGGATTGTGTCCCACTGCTGCTTAAAAATTCTCAGTTGCTTCCCATTGCCTCTGAAATAAAATCCAAACCCCAAGGCCCTGTGTCATCTCGCCCCTCCCCCATCTCTCCCAACTTTTTTTGAGCAGCCCTGCAGTCAGTCATACTGTTTCAGTTCCTTAAATTACCAGGGTCTTTCCAGCCTGAAAGTGCACGCAAGCTGCCCCTCTCCGTGAATGCCTTTGTTTACACGGCTAATCCTCTCCTGCCTCTGCCTTCTGCTTATAGGTCACTTCCTCAGACAGCCATTCCTTTTACATCACTTTCCCCAAAAGCGTGTCCTCCTCTGTTACTTTATCTGAGTTTGCTCGCTTTTTGTCTGTCTTTTCCACTAAAACACAAGCTGCCTGAAGGCCAGTACCATATATCTTGTTCACCATTGTATCCTCAGTGCCAGACACAGTGCCTGGCTCACAGTATATGCTCGATGAATACTTGGTGATTCCCAATGATGTTAATGTAATGTAATTGTTGTATAATGATGTTGATGTCAATTGATTTCTGATGCCATTTCCCACACAAATTGTAATAGCATTATAAAGTTCATACATCAATATATTTTTCTGGATAACTTCTAAAAATAAATTCCTCCCTCACCCAAACTTGTTTTTTTTTTTAAATGTCACCTTACCTAAACTGAATCTCTCAAAAGCTTCCTGTCTATCCTGAGTAGTTACTGGTTGACCTTCCAAACTTTCTAGTGAGCGAAGGTGAAAAATGGTAAACTGGATGTAATGAGGAAGGGTCACAACTGGATTTTCAAGTAGGATCAGAGAGGTCAAATCTTGAAGTGGTTTCAACTTGCTTACATCTTGGAGCTGAAAGGATATATAACATTAAAATTAGTATAAATTAATTTTAAAATAATAAAAACATACCCAAAGGAAGTAAGAGATCAAGAAAATTGCTCTCAACATGGCAAGGAACCCATGGTCCTATGCATAGAACCCATTATCCAAAACTGGTGTGAGGGGAGGAACAGAGAGGGAGTATTTGAGTATCTACAGTGTAGCAGAGCAGTATTAGGCATTTTCCATACACCATTTCATTTATGACTCCCTCACAATAGCCTATAGTATAAATACCATCTTAATTTTATAGATAAAGAAACTGAGGTTCAAAGAAGTTAAATAACTTGCCCAAAGCTCAGATCTTATAAATGAACAAAAGAGGATCTGAATTCAAGTCTGTATAACTTAAAACCTATTATCTTTTCACTGTGCTGATTGAACATATCAATAACATAAATGGCTATAAAAAAGATTTTGGTAAATCTTCAGAAAACAGCTACAATTGACAGTTAAAAGAAATAAGAATACTTTTGAAGTATGATTTTTATGTTTCCAAAGAGGGATTTTAAAAGGTTGAGAAACACTATTTTTTAAAAACTTTTTAACATTTATTTATTTTTTTTGAGAGAGAGCACGAGTTGGGGAGGGGCGGAGAAAGAGGGAAACACAGAATCTGAAGCAGCTCCAGGCTCTGAGCTGTCAGCACAGAGCCTGACATGAGGCTGGAATCCACAAGCCAAGCCGTGAGACCATGACCTAAGCTGAAGTGGGAGGCTTAACCAACTGAGCCACCCAGGCACCCCAAGAAACACTAGTTTTAGTAGCTAGTACAAATAAATCTCCTCTCACAAGTGAATATGTATCACTCTTACTGATGTCAATGTCAAATAAAACTGGAATGAGAAACGATAATAAATATTTAGTAAATGATTCTCCTGTTAACATCAGCTGACACCAAATACTATCTAGAAATAAACTATTTTGAGAAGTATTTTTAGCAAGTTTTAGATTCATGGCTACACTGTTCCATCACTCCATGAACCCCAAGGGCTCCAAAGTGATGCTGTGCAACATGGTACAGGGCTAGGGCTCTGAGGCTGCTGGGCCGTGGCAGTGAAATGGTACAGTCACCTTACCACAACTTTCTACAAGGTGAAATAAAAAAGCATAGACAATGTGAATTGCACAGCAATTAAACAAATGTTGATTATCATTATTGGCTTCCATTGGTGAAGGCTTAAGGAATACAACCCTAAGAGTTATTTAGTGTTTTAAAGTTTTTAGAGCATTTTCACACCTATCATTTTATCTGAGCCTCCATAACACCCCTGTAAAGAAGGAAGGCAGGGTAGAGTTTTTTTCCAATTTAAACAATGAGTTTTAGGGAGACAAAGGGATTTTCCAAGGTCACAGAAGGCAGGTCTAGACCCATATTAGAAGGCACAGCTTTTATTGCCTATTCTATGACTGATGTTTTTAAATTAAGCACGATTGTTCTCATTTTAATATAAACTTAATTAATGTTTTCAGTTAACAAATACATATTGAACACCTAACTGTATAAATGTCAAAAGAAAATAATAAATTATACTCCAAAGGAAAATATACAGGATTATCATATTATGTGAGCCATTTTAACAAACTATTCTACTATAAAAGAGCCAGTACCTGACATTATAATCAAGCTTAATTTATAAGTCTGAAAAAAAAAAAAAAGAACTCTGTTCCCGCCACTCAGTGACCTGGATTTTGGCCCACATTGTGTGCTTTGGGTAACAGACTCAACCTGAAAATGGGCAAAAGACTATACTGACAGTATTATAAAAATAATCTTTTTACTCCCTCCTTAAAAAAAGTTTTCTAAGACCCAAATGTAATGATAGATGAAGAAATCCTAAGAAGTCAACTCTTAGTTACCATGGAGCCTTGAAAAACCAGAAATGCCTATATTTATTTACCCTAGAGAATCCTTGATTATGCCTGAATTCGAGGCTTGGTCATAGGGCCAAGAACCTTGAAAGAAGAAATCTCATTTTTTAAAAAAATAGATTTTAATCTTTCTTTCAACAAGTCTAAAACTTTGAAAAACATCCTTGCTACTTTGAATAACTTACCGATGATATCTTGTTGCCTTTCAGATTGAGGATTCGCAAAGATTTTAACTTCTTCCCTAACCATACTGGGATATGTTCAATTTCATTTCCTGCAAGGTTTAGCTTTTGCAAATTATGCATATTTTCTATGCCTTCAATTTTGCTGGAAAAAATAAAATCAAATTTAGTAAATATAATGACAGAGTCCCTCCCTTGAATGTTTAGAATAAATTGCCTTGGTTTTATGTGGGGTTAATTTTCATAACTAAAATTTGTTAACCCTTTTTATAAATGGGAACCAAACAAAAAGTGGCTGAAAAGAAACTGACCAGAACAGCTAAGCTGGCAACTCTTCATTACTACATCCAGGAATCCTATGTATTTTATTATCAAACTTTAGGATCCCAAAAATACAGTTAACAGTCTGTCCGTAGCATTCTAACCACTGTGAGGAATACTCGTAGACAGCTAGGGGAGAGCTGAAAATCTCAAGAGCACACATACCAGATGTCCTTAATTATTACCTTCAGTCACCACCAAAAGATTAGCTATGCCAGCAGGATATGGCTGCCACTTTGAATTTGTGGACTCCCTAGAACAACACTATATTTATGAACATAAATATTTTAATCAGAATACTTAAATCGATAAAGCATCACTCATATTGATGAATTTTCACTAATGAAATGTTTTCCCAATTTGTCAATTTAAGTTCTTGGTAAATTTTCTATATGGGCAATATGTCCAAGTGTTTTTATTTTCATTTTTACTTTGTTGAAATTATTTTCATCAGGATCAATTATTTTTACAAACTTTACGTGAAGGATTTAACTCATTAATCGGGTTTCTTTCCCCATTTCATTTTTGCTATATTAGAGCTTCTGCCACTGTTAGTTGTTTTATTTTGTCGGCCACTGTGTCTACCAAGCCAAAGGTAGGGCAAAGTATATGAAGATTTGTGTGTGTGTCTGGGTGTTTTTTTGTTTTGTTTTTTGTTTTTTTGTTTTGCCACTGCCAGTTTCATTATGTTTATTTCTCACAGTTATATATATTATGAAGTGGAAACATGGCTGAGAGCGTATTTCTTAGAGCAATAAACAAAAAGCTTCAGGGTAAACACATAGGATCAGAACACATTGGAATATCTTTAGGATCAAAATGATAGAGTTAAAACACTGCTTCATGTCAACTTTGTTAATGTAATAGACAGTGGATTAAAGACTCTGCCTGTGAAAACTTCCTGTCAAAAATGGAATTAAGATAAAAATTGGTACTCATGTATCTCCTCTGATAACACTAGAAAAATATTATTCTGTACTTTAGTAATGCCAAAACATGAAAGCAGTTATATGTGAAGGACTAGAGGAAGGAATGAGGATCCAAGTGCCTGCTATTTCAAAGGACTCTTTCAATTCAGTAATGTGAGGAGTATTAATCTCTCTTTAACAAAGACAACCCTGCAATGCTACCTAAAGGAGTATTTACTTACCAGATTTTGTTATATGATAAGTTGAGTTCACGTAATTTTACCAGCTTGTCCATCTTCTCAATCTTCCCTATTATATTATAGCTGAGATTCAGTACTTCAAGCTTAACACATTTTTCCAAGTTTTCGATATACTAATTGGAAACAAATGAATACTTTATACAACAGATTCCTTGACATAAAGTACACTGTGTATGTATGTGCATTAGGGGCTGTTTTGATCAGTCACCAGAAAATAATAAACTCTTACTGCTCTCCTGGACAATCCCTTGGTATGGGATTCCTTTGACCAAGAATAGCAGCTCTCCCCAAACTTTCCTTGCCCTTCGGTGGACACATCCTATGTACTGAGATGCTCAAGACTGTCCACCAAGAATTCCACCTCAACTTTTCCTCCCCCTCAACTTTTCTATACCTCCCCCTCCTCTCCTCCTTTCTTCAAAGTTCAGCTAGGTACTTACACTCTTACATAAGCTCATCTACCCTCCCCACCCCCCATGCTCTTGCATCTTCAATTTCTTTCTCTCCTGGATCTTCCCCTCAAGTTTAAAAAGTCACTATTCAGGGGTGCCAGGGTAGCTCGGTCAGGTGAACGTACAACTCTTGATTTTGGCTCAGGTCACGATCTCCAGGTTTATGGGCTTGAGCTCCACATCAGGCTCTGCACAGACAGCTCAGAGCCTGCTTGTCTACCTCTCTCTCTCTCTGACCACCCTGCCCCCGCTTGCTCTCTATCTCTCTCTGAAAATCAATAAAAATAAACTTTTTTAAAAAGTCACTATTCAAAAGATATCCATTATGCAGTTACTACATACCAGATGCAACACCAGGCAATATACCAGTGAATTAGACCATCCCCCGCTGCAGAAGCCTTCAACAGGCTCAGTCTCCACCATATAAAGCAAATCACCTCACGCTGAACCTGTTTTCCTATCAAGCTATCATTTTATCTCCTTTATTTGTGACCACATCCTCATAAGAGTTGTGTACATTTGTTCATTCTGCTCCCCATTTATGCTTATTCTATTGGTAAGACAGGATATCTTTTGCTTTTATTATGTAATCAAATAGTCCAAGACTGCCATTCATCTATCCATTCCACAAATATTTATCCAACATGGATTATGTGCCAGGAGCTGTTCTAGGTACTTGAACTACAATGCTGAATAAGGAAACCAAGATTCTTGTTTTCATTAGCAGAGAAAGTCAATAAAGAAATAACATTTTCAGACGCTGAAGCATATTCACAATGAAACAAAGATAACGTGACATGACAGCAGGAAAGTCACCCAGAGGGTGGATCTGCCTGTATTCACTTTAACAGCATAAATGCCTGGCATATAGTGGACACTGAATAAATATTTGGTGACTGAAAGAATGAGGAGTCACTGAGAAGGGGGCTAATTGCAACAGGGTGGTAAGAGAAGGTCACATAGAGGGCGTATACTGAGCTGAGCCCTAAATAACAAGAAGCCAGCTGTGTGAACATCTGGGGGCAGAGAATAACAGGCAGAGTAAAAAAATACAATGGCCCTAAAAGAATGAACTTGGTTGGTTTGAGAAACAGAAGGACTTTTTAACTGCCAGATCCAAATGACTTCTAAGGTTTTGTCCTATTTAATGATTCCGTGACATTTTTTATTATCAGTCGTGCTTGAAATTCTCCCTTCTTTGGCCTCCATTCATCATACTCTTAAATCTTCTGTTCTAATAGTCCCTTCAGCCTCTCCTGTGTGTGCTTTCTCTGATTCCCCTTCACTACTCCTCCTCTTAATGCTAGGCATTCTTCTAGGAAGCTCTATGTTCCCAGAGATCAGAAACCGAGCTTATTTACCTGTGTATGGTGTTCCACGGCCTAACATAATGCCTGGCATATAATAACATACAGTAAATATTTACTGCATGGTGTCATTTTTGCAACTTGTAAACTCCAGAATGTCTCCTTTTTCCTTTTTTTAAAAATTTGTATTTATTTATTTTGGGGGGGAGGGGCAGAGAGTGGGAGAGAGAACCTTAAGTAGGCTCGGTGCTGTCAGTGCAGAGCCTTACGTGGGGCTTGATCCCATGACTGTAAGATCATGACCTGAGCCAAAATCAAGAGTCTGACACTCAACCAGATGAGCCACCCAGGCGCCCCTCTCCTTCTTCCTTTTTAATTACACGAGAAATACATAAATGTATTCTGATAAAAATTTCAAACAAAACAGAAGAAGCTCTCTTCTTCACATCCCCAGGCCCCTGTCAAAAACCCCACTGATCAAAGGTAACCATTGTTAAGATACATCTGTATCTTTCCATTCATTTACATCCATATATACACATGTAGAAAAACAGAATTTTTAGACCTTACTATACAAAATGTTTCAGAATTTGCCCTTTTCTCCTCCATTAAATACACTGGACATTTTCCCATGTTAATACATAGAGCTCTAGCTCAATTTTTTTAAAAACTTGGTAGTATTTCATGGTATACTCCACCATAATTCATTTAAAACCAATCCCCTATTGACAGACATTTGGTTATTTCCAACTTTTCCATTTTAAATAATGCTTAATAAACATGATTATATCATTCTGGATACATGTGTATATAATTTCAGTAGAACAGACATCAAGGAGTAGAATTGTTTGGTTGGTAAGTATAAATTTGGTAAATATAAACTCAATTGCTGAATCAAATAGGTACATTTGACATTTGGATGAATGCGACCAGTCTTTGTAAAAGGCAGTACCAATCTACATGTCCCACTAAGACCGGATGGTAACATGCACTTCCCACACCTTTCTGAACATGAAATAATCCTTTTGATTCTTGTCCCTTAGACATACAAGATGGAAAATGGTGCCAAATTCTTGTTTTATTTCATATTTCTTTGATATTAATGAAGTTGAAGACATTTCCATGTTAATATTAGCCATTTATAATACTTTTGCCAATACCTTGTTCATATCCTTAGCACATTTTCCATTGAGTTGTCTCCCTTACTGAATTACATGGGTATTGTAACAGATGTTGGAAATAGTCCCTGACAGTTTGTTGCCTTTCTTTTAACTTTTTTTTAAAAGATACCTTTTATTAAACACTTCTTAATCTTTTCACAAGCTAAGTCTGTCAGTATTTTTCTATGTGGCATTAGGGCTGGTGTTTGCTTAAAGGGCTTTCCCAACTCTTCTAAAATATATTCTCCTATGTTCTTTCCTAATACGGTTATAGCATTATTGTGGGTTGATTTTGCTTTGGTCTCATTAAGATCTTCAACCTTCTGGAATTAATTTTTGTGACTAATGTGTAGTAGGCATCTAAATTCATATATTTTCCAGTTCAAAAATTTAAGTCATCTTTTACAATGTGTTCATATTGTATAGTTTATGAATAAAGCAGTAAACACTCTAGAGCGGAGATTAACAAGCTTTTCCTGGAAAAAGCCACGTAATGAGTATTTTTGGCTTTGTGGGGCTTATGAAAAACAGCCACAGACAATATTCATGACAAACGAGTGTGGCTGTGTTCCAATAAAATTTTATTTACAAAAATAGGCAGCAGGCCCGATTTGGCCTTACAAGTTATAGTTTGCCAACCCCTTCTCTGGAGAGAATCCAACAATGTATAGAATAGTAAGAGCTTATGAATGTGAAGATGTCATACTTCTGATAGAACTTTCACTGGAAATAATACAACATCTGCTACAAGTTACGTAAATCAGGATGAGCTGTTACTATAGATCTAATTTAATCTTTTAATTTTCAATTTTAAAACACAGAAAAATTAAAAACAATACCCATATTCAGAAACGCTGGTGACCTACCCTAAATTTCTTGCCACCATCTTTAGCAAGTGAAAGGTTTAGGGATTTTACCAAGGCCAAATTGTCCTGTTTAGTAAGTTTTTTAACAAGGGCCTCTGTAATATATCGGACTCCAGTATGTGAATCAGCTTCTGCAATTATAGAAACAGATCATCAGTAGAAGAAGACATAAATTTTCTGAAAAACATTAGTTTGATGTTATATAACAACAAAAAAAATGTTAAGCCATGCAAATATAAAAACAGCTAGTTAGTTCTAATTACAATGTTTAAATGCTACTTTATATAGCATTATATAATAATTATATAGCATCTATAATAATGTCACTAGGTTGTATTTTATAAATATTAACCGTGTGCCACGCTTTGTGCTAAATGCTTTACAGTTACAAAATTTACTTTGTATGACAAATTTTTGAAATATAATTACTATTTCTAAGATCTTGTAGCTGGTGCAAATCTAGGACTTGAACTCAGGCAGATAAATCCAAAACAACCACTTAAAAAATTTTTTTAACGTTTATTCATTTTTTTGAGAGACAAAAGAAAGTGAGCGGGAAGGGGCCGAGAGAGAGAGAGAGAGAGAGAGAGAGAGAGAGTGTCAGAGAGCCAGACAGCCAGAGACAGACTCTGAAGCAGGCTCCTGGCTCTGAGCTGTCAGCACAGAGCCTGATGAGGGGGTTAAACTCACGAACCATAAGATCATGACCTGAGTTGACTGCTTAACTGACTGAGCCACCAAGGCTCCCCTAAACTTACACTTTTAATAATATGCAGCACTGAAGTTTTCAGCAATATTTTGATGTTATTAGCTTTTTTATTTTTAAAGAAACTGGCACTAATCTGGGTTTGTTTTTTAAATTCCAATCTAAAGTTCAGAAACACTGGAATTCTTAAAAATCTTCTTTTTTTAGGGGCGCCTGGGTGGCTTAGTCTGTTAAGCGTCCGACTTTCGCTTAGGTCATGATCTCGCGGTTCGTGGGTTCGAGCCCCACATCGGGCTCTGTGCTGACTGCCAGCTCAGAGCCTGGAGCCTGTTTCAGTCTGTGACTCCCTCTCTCTCTGACCCTCCCCTGTTCACGCTGTCTCTCTCTCTCTCTCCTAGAAATAAATTTAAAAAAACATTTAAAAAAAAAATCTTTTTTTTAAATTGTGACAAACTCAAATATGTTGGTCTTTTAAATAGAGAAAAACACCACATACTTTATAAAGTACTAGTGTGACGGACAGCACACCCTGTCCTAAGCCTGCATAGTGCTATCAAAGCTTGTTACATTTTACAAGAGCAGCTGTAAAAAGAAAATTCCTTTTTCTTTTATTTTTTAAACTATTTTATTAATTTCTGAGAGAGAGAGAGAGAGACAGCGTGAGCAGGGGAAGGTCAGAGTGACAGGGAGACACAGAATCTGAAATAGTCTCCAGGCTCTGAACTAGCTGTCAGCACAGAGCCCGACGCAGGGCTTGAACCCACCAGTCGTGAGATCATGACCTGAGCGGAAGTCGGACACTTAACCGACTGAGTCACCCAGGCGCCCCCAAAAATTCTTTCTTTATGAGTCAGTAAAAACTAATGCAGGGTTCCAATCCAGGCTGTGTGACAAAGATTTCCTGTGATTATTTATAATAAGTTAAATATTACGTTTATTTTTGGTTCAACATAAAATGATTGTTTTCCTTTACTTTGGGCTATTCTAGGAAAGAAGATGAATAATCTAAAATATTAATCAAATTAGAGTCAGCAATGTACCAACTGGCAGCAAGGGTAGAGTCTAAACTCAGCTGCTGATCTGATAAGGTTTATTAGTAAAAACTGATCAAATAGACAGCTGTGATTTATGAGTTGGAAAAAAATTACAAAGTTTTCATTCATATTTAGTCACATTAAATCCTTTCTTAGAAAAAAAAATCTGAAAACAGTTTCACACGCTAACAGACTGCTTTTAAGAAAACAAAACATTATGGGGATGAGCACTGAGTGTTATGTGGAAACTAATTTGACAATAAACTATTTGTAAAAAAATAAAATAAAATAAAAAAATAAAACAAATAACCTCTTGAAAAAAAAAATAAAAATAAAAACTGAAAAAAAAAGAAAACAAAACAAAACAAAACCTTGGTGGAGTATTTACATGTCCCTTACAGGGAAGTAGTCCGTTCACAGATAGGCGCTCTGTCAATAAGGAGACTGGGACAGCCCAAGAGTGGCTAACATTTTTGTACTGAATTAAGGCACTCCACTCTAAAGTGAACACATACGCTTTTCCTCTAACCAAGGATGCTGGTAAATTTGGCAGATGAACATTAAAGGCACTCTCCGACCACAGGAAAACAAGCTTCCTCTTTCTGGAAACTCCCTTCTCCTTCGCCCTCAGCTTTCAGACAGCTTCACCCTCACCCAGAACCCTTCATCCTCCACTGTCCTTATACACTGTCTGTCGGCACGAACAAGAGGTCATGTCAGTACCAAGACATATATTTCACTTGGACCAAAAATGTAAGTTCAGTATTTTCCATCTCTACTCAAGAGTACGTGTTTAAATTCTTAAGACTGAAAAGTATTACCTTTATGGTCTTGGTGGTCCAAAAGCATAGTGTTTTCATCTGTAATCTCAACTTGCTCATGCCACTGTCTCCCAAAATGAAAAGGCAGAGTCTCAGATCCACTTAAAGGTGAAAGTGACCTAGATCTTGTATTGGACGCGAGGGATGGTGAACTAGGAGAGCGAGGTGATGGGGGCATCTTTGCTTTGGAAAATTTTTTCTCAGAACCTTTCTTCATGGCAAGAACAAAGCCAGGTGTCCATCAAAACCTGTAAGAGTTTTCAGTATATTTAACAAGATTAATTTTTTAGAGCTCTCAAAACTATTCATCTATTTCCAGCATTTTAAAGTAAGTCCTATGCCCAAAGTGGGGCTCAAACTCACTACTCCAAGATCAAGACTCGCAGGCTTTCCTGACTGAGCCAGCCAGGCACACCCCTCTTTCTAAAGGTTTTAAGATGACGCAGTTAGAAACTCAGAGGCTAGAGAAGCCAGGACCCATACTATTCCAAGCAGATGGGAGCAGACACTACTTCAGACACTGCTGGTCACCTTGCTGGAGGGAAAGCAGACTTCTGGAGGGTCTTGAATTGACACAGCTCTAGCCAGAAGTTTCACCTTTCATTTCTGTTGTCTACTAGGCCAAACTAGTCACAGCGCCCCTCAAACCCACAAAGGGCCCTAGAATGCAAGAAGGTGGAAATATTTGGCAACCAGCAGTATTTAATACTGATGAGTACTCTCTCCTTCCTGATAAAGTTTCTTCCGCTTCTGGACACCACATTGTCCTGGTACCCTCCTGCCTCTATGGCCCCTCTGTGGCCTCCTTTGCTGGCTCACACTCTGTTCAATCTTCAAATGTCAGAGCTCCTCAAATCGCTTTTACTCTCTCTCTAATCTCACTTTAGACAATCTAATGCACACCCATGGCTCCCAGTGTCACCTCTATACTGATGCTTATATCTTTATTCCAACCTCTCTCTTGAGGTCCAGACTCCCATTCCCAACCGTCTACTTGATATCTCATTGCCATAGTAACTCACCATGTCCAAACTGAATTTATCATTTCCCCCATTCCTCCCTCATTTTCCTCCCATATAGAACAATGCATAAATCATAAGTGTACAGCTCCATGAATTTTTGTACACTGAATACAACCAGTATCCAGATCAAGACACAGAATATTACCAGAACCCCAGAAGCCACCTCATGCCCCCTTCTTGTCATTAAACCCCCACACTTGGGTAATCGCTATCTTGATTTCCAATACCAGAGATTTTTTTAAACAATTTTTTTTTTAAGATTTTTATTTTTAAGTAATCTCTCTACCCAACTTGGGGCTTGAAAACACAACCCCAATATCAAGAGTAGCACACTCTACCAAATGAGCTAGCTAGTCAGGTGCCCCATAAACTAATTTTGAACTGTATGTAAATGAAATCATAGAATATCTTTTATATCTGCCTTCTTTGTTAAGCATTATGCTTCTGATATTCATTCACATTTGTCTCACTCTATTTGAAAAACATCTGATCACTTCAAAGTTACATGCCTTCTATTGCTTGTCCATAAAATCAATTTTGTTGACGTTCAGATCTTCCAGAAGGAACCAAAGCATTTATTGATGAAAGGGATCTTAGCCAAATCCCTTTGCTTTTCATAAAAGAAAATTAAGGCCCAAAACAGTAAATGACCTGGTCAGACACAATGTGAGCTGTAGTAATGAAGAGAATCAGTTCTCCTCTCAAACTAATTTGTAAGTCAAATAACGTAATTAACCTAGTAGAACGTAAGTTCCATGAAAGCAGGGATAACGTTCACTGATTTACTCCAGGCCTTGGGCAGAGCTTAGCAGAAAGCAGACAATTAATATTTACCTAATGAATTACTCATAAAGAACACAGAACTGATAAAATGATACTTATTTAGTACCTCAGCAAAGGATATCTTCTTGAGCAATACTAGTCCTCAACCCCAAGAATCCCACCTGCAAGGTTAGGTTTACGCAAAAAAGACTGTCACGATAAACAACTGCTCTTACAACAATCAATCTAAAAACATGGCAAAAATTCTAAGTTTGACAAACTTTTAGGCAAAAAAAAATCGTATAAAACGGACAGGTCTTCAGCAAGCGTATGTTAACAATGATCCTATTTTTGTTCAATATCCATAATGTCTCCTACTCTCCCCTCTTAAAATATGAAGAAAAGACACTAATGTTTAGAAAAGTAGTTTTCAATTCAAAGATTTGGGGCAGCTCAAACGTGAATGCTATATAAATTGGTATTAGAAAGAGATATTATAATGGTTTGATGCGTGAAAACCTTCACAAGGATAGGGGTATTATTACACAGGCTGGGATTATGAAGAAATTTATTCGTTAAATGGTTGGAAGACACACAATATATGTAAATGAGAGCTGCCATTAATATATACACTCAATTTACCAACAATTGGCAGGTTTAATACCTTTCAATGCCTATATAGTTATTCTAGGAATGCTGATCATGCCCAAAACATTTCTGAAATTCCTCTTTGGATCCTGCTTTCAGAATTACTTTATACATCTCACAAGAAAATCAGACCCATTACTTCAGCCACGCTTTTTCTTTTCCCAGTTTGATCATTAACTTTACCATGTGTCAAATACTGTGATAAGCTCTTACATGTATCATCACATTAGAAGGATAAAATACAACAATTCCACAAAATAGGTGTTATTATCCCACCCCTATAAAGATTAAAAGGTTAATTAATTTGTTCAAAGTCCCATAACTAATTGATTAAGCCAAGGCTCGAATCCTGATCTGATTCCAAAGCCCTTGTCTTCATTACTGTGTCATATTGCTGACTCTGTTTTCTGGAGTCCAGATCATGCTTGATTTGCTCTCTAGAGCCTCGCATGGTGCCTCATACAAAATAGACCAGAATAAATGCCACTAAATAAGCTTGATCAATGGATAGCATGTAAGAACAATTCCTGAAGGAAAAATACAAAATTTAATAAAATAGCATTGCTGAACTGATGATCTAGCTTCTTAAAGTGATTACTTTGAAGAGAACAAAAACCTGCTACATTTGTTTTTAAGAAGTGATTATTTCACAGTCGTACATCACAATATGGCAACTGCCTTATATCAATAGTCTGGTTCACTTTAAACTGCAAACTTCTGTGCGTCTTTACTTTCTCTTTCATTTTTTTAAATGTGTTTTTATTTTTTAGACAGAGAGAGAGCAAGAGCAGGAGAGGGGCAGAGAGAGAGAGGGAGGCGGAGGATCTGAATCAGGCTCTGCGCTAGTAGCAAGAGCCCGATGTGAGGCTTGAACTCAGGAACCATGAAGGAGATCATGACCTGAGCCAAAGTCGAACACTTAACCCACTGAGCCACCCGGGCCCCCCTCTCTTTCATTTTCTCATGTTAAACTATCCATATAGGCCTTTCTGTCACATAACAGCCCTTTATGCCATGACAAGGCTCTTGGTCCTAATTTCACAAGCGTGGGGAAAACTTTCATTGTTACTATCACACCATCCTGCCATGGAAACCCATCTCTTATGAATACTATTGGCTCTCTAATAAGCTGAAATGGCGTCTCTTTTTAAATAAGAGTACTATGCTCAAACGAGGACAGCTAAGAGGCCTTAAAAATGAAATTACAAAAATTAATTAATTTAAAATTGTATTTATTCTTGAATTAAATGTAGTTTTCATAAAAGCAAGAGATTAAAAAAATAAAAGAGGGGAGGGACAGGGCCCAGCTGTCACTTCTATGTTTCTGTCTCTATCCTGTAACATGATAGAAAATGATATAATTAGAATAATAGTGTGTGCTGCATGCTACAGAGACATGCTTTATAGATTTTTGAGTTTCTTGGCTAAAAAAAAGCAAATCTTAGAGGTACCTGGTTGGCTCAGTGAGCTGAATGTCTGACACCAGCTCAGGTCATGATCTTGCCGTTAGTGGGTTCAAGTCCCCCATTGGGCTTGCTGCTGTCAGTCTGTCAGCACAGAGCCTGCTTTGGATCTTCTATCCCCCTCTTTCTACCCCTCCCCCACTTGTGATCTCTCAAAAATATATAAACAGTTAAAAAAAGCACATCTTATATTTTTATGTAATGCAACTATTTTGTATCCCACATTTTAGTCTTCTCTCTAAATTCTTTAAATACTGGGGGCACCTGGGTGCCTCAGTCGGTTGTCGGTTGAGTGTCCGACTTCAGCTCAGGTCATGATCTCATGGTTCATGGGTTCGAGCCCCGCATCGGGCTCTGTGCTGACTGCCAGCTCAGAGCCTGGAGCCTGTTTCAGATTCTGTATCTCCCTCCCTCTATGACCCTCCCCTGCTCATGCTGTCTCTCTCTCTCAGAAATAAAACATTTAGATAAATAAATAAATAAATAATTTAAATACTGAACTGAACCATCCTGAATTCTCTTCATAATATCCTAATGACTAAGGCCTTTGGGGCCTCACTAGACCATCATGAGGTCCTCTGCTACCTCTCTTGATCAGAAAAACTCTGCCTTTACTCATTTATAGATTTTTTTAAATGTATTAGAATGGATTTCAGAAATTTAGATCAACTCCTTTCTTCTATGAATTGCAACATGAAAGATCTTTTGGAAAGATCCAAAGTCACAATGCATTTCCAAGTCCTCCTCCTGGGTTGCCGTAGCTCCTGTAAGCCACGGACATTCAAACAACAGATATGTACTACAATCTCATAAAATAGCTAACTCAGCAATAGTGAACTGGGCCGTGTCTGAGAATGGCTGGCATTATATCAGAGACTAGCACCTGGACATACTAAACTGTCAACTACAACTTTAAGGGAGAGATGGGGATGCTGTTTGCAGAGATGTAGTTTGCAATCACATAAAGACCAAGCAATAGAAATAAGACACTGAGATGTAGGGCTAGAATGTGTGAAGGGGCGGCATAAAGAGAAAGCAAAACAAGTCCAGAGCTAGAAACATATTTTGAAAGCCCATAAGGTCTGCAGCACAAGAGAAAGTTATTGGAATAATGTGATTATCAGAATCAAATGAGCAGGTCAGAAAACACTATCCTGTCTTGTCACTCCCTTGCCCTGATACAGAGCTTAGTAAAGACCATACCTCTCCCTCTACTCAGCCTTTCCTCACACTTTTAACTTTCCATCTTCTTTGAACTTCTCCCAATGAGACAGACATCCATTATCGCCAAACCCTCCTTCTTTCTTCCCAGCACACCTCAATATGCAAATACCCATCCCCATTTCCTGACCTCCATAGCCCTCCCCATCCTGTAGCCCTTTAAGCCCATCTCAGTACTTCCCCTACAATTCTACTTCATGTCGTGGCCCTTTGATCCATTTAAATACTCTTTCTCTAGTCCTTTCAAATACGCTAATTCCCACTCCTCTCCAATAGCAATCCTCCATTCCGTACTTGTCAGCCTCAGCCCCCCATACTTCATCCCATTCTCACTGCTGAGTTTTCCCACAAATCCTGTCCCAATTCCCTAACACTGTATTAGTCTCCTTCCCTCTGCACTCCCAGCATCCTACCTCAACACTTCCATATTGTCCTGATTCCTCAAACTACTCATCTCAGCAAATATCCTGACATCTTAATCCATTCCAATACTCTGACTTCAACTTATTCTCCTCCAACAAAACAGCCAAACCTCTACCCATTCCTCTTCATCCCAATGTGGTGGTTTGAGTATGAGCCGTTCCATTCAAATACCCTGACCTCCATGTCCTTCTTCATCCTATTGTATCCTGGGTTCTCCTCTCTTCTCTCTCTCCCTTCTGCTCAGGTATCCTAAAACACAAGTGCCCATCTCTTCCCATTAATTTATTTATTCAGTAACTCAATTTTATTGAGTGACTTTTATGTACTAAGAACTGTCAGGCTCAAAAAAAAAAAAATAATGCCGTAGAAGTCAGGGTTTCTATGCTCAGGTTGCACAAAAGGATTACATCTTCCTATTATATAGTCTCTGCAGCAAGTAGTCTCCTTTATAATATCTTACGATTACAATTAAATGATCACTTGTGCAACAACTTGATTATTGCTCGTTTCCAAGCTACAAGACAGCAGAGATTCTGTTTATTGTTGAAGGAAAGGAGCACGGTGCCAAGCACTCTTAAAGACATTAGCAAATTTAAATTCTCAAAGATGGTGTATAAGGTCAGAATTATTCATCTCATTTTCAAGGCAGTGTGTCATCAGGAATTAAGAGCTTGGATTCTGGAACTAAACAGCCTGAGTTCAAATCCTGCTTCTCCACTTACTGTGTGACATTAGGCAAATCACTTAACCTCTCTGATCCACAGTTTCATCAACTTTAAAATGAAGATGGTTACTTCACAGGTTATTTTTAAATTCTGAATTAGTTAATACATGAGAAGGGCTTGGGACTGATTTCGACATATACCGTATTCTAGGGTAATTAGCAATTATTTTTACAAACGAGAAAACATGCTCCAGAAGACTAAGGTACACGCCCAAAGTCACTGGGTGGGTTAAGTAACACAAGCTGGCAGAACCAAGACTTGAACCCAAGCTTTGACATCAGGATTCACCCATCCTTTAAACCATTATACGCGAAAATAGTTGCTCTTCCTTTTAACATTTCTTCCCAATGCCCTAACTTTCATCATTCTGCATGTGCTGTACTGTCGATACCAGGACACTCGTAAGGACACCCAAACGTCCTTTATCCCTGCGATTCCCCGCAGACACCTGGCACACCCCTGCTCCTCCCTCCTCCTCCTCCTGCGGGTGGCGGGACCCCCATCCATCTCGCAGCCGCACCCCATGGTCCACACCTCCCCACGGTCTGGTTCTCCATCCCCCACCACCCCCACCACCCCCACCACCCCCTCCCCCGCATCCCCACCCGCGACCTTTTCACGTCTCATCCAAACCTCCCTCCTTCACCCTCCTCCCCACACCCGTTCCGGGCCCTCCCCTCCTCCTCATCCAATCCCAATTCCCAAGCACACGCCCCCGCCCCGGGATCCGTCCCACCCCACGCTTGCTCCAGGCCTTTCCGCCTTCGCCGCCAGCCCCCACCGCTCCGCCCGATGCCCGAGAACGGCCTCGACCCGGCCTGGCACTCACCGGCGAGGAGCCGAGCGGAGCGGGCCCGCTGGACGAGGCGGGGCGGGAGACGCGCAGGTAGTTCCCTTTAAGCGTCCAGCGATGCGGCGGCCATTTTGTTGTGCTTTGCCGGTTGCCCAGGGGCCGCGCGCGCGCGGCGTGGGCGGGGCCTTCCGCGGCCACGCCTCTCCTGGAGCCGTTGAGAGGGGGCGGGGCACGGCTTCCCGCCGCTGGGAGCCGAAGCGCGCTGGGTCCCCGGGCGGCCTGGCGGCTCGAGGGTGTTTGCACATGCGGCGCTTGTGGGAGTCGAGCTCTCCTGCTGCAGTCGCCGACTAGTCCGTCTCCTTTCCCTGAGGCGAAGCCGCGGTTGTCTCACGCCAGGCGTCGGGCACGCTCCTGGTGGGCAGTCGCCAAGCGGTCGCCCTTCCGATGCTGGCCTGCTGGCCGCAGATTCTCGAAGCGCGGCCTGTTTCTGAGGCGAATTCTCTCCTTCAGGGACCAGTCGGGGAGCGCGACGGGCCGGAGAACCCGGGCAGCGAATGTTCTCCTGGACCGTGCAGACTATTCCCCTGGTTGGAGACAGAGAAGCAAGTGCAAGAAGCGTCAATTAGGCTTGTCTGAAAGTGCCGCGTTTCACCGCATACATTCAGCATTCAATGAAGGAGAATTTAGTGGATACTGTGAATTAAAAAACATTCTCGTCAAGGACACCTTCCTCCACCCCAGCCTCCCACTTCCCTGCTTGTACCTTGAACCGTGTCACCAACTCCAGAAATCTCCAGTGCAGTCACTACCTCTCTTTTACCATAATCTTCGAATCTTATTTGTGCAAAAGACCCCCCCACCCTCCACCCCGGCCCAATCTTTATTTTCGTTATGACACCCCCCCCCATCTCTAGTTCTTATTTGCTCACAGATTCTTCCTTTTTCAGAGTTCTTGGTCCATCTTTGTAACACTGTTTTAGAAATTCCCTCCATCTAGGTTTCCTCATCCATGAAATGGGATAATCACACCTTTTACAGTTTCCTTGATAAGTATACAAATTAATGCTTGGAAAGAAGTTGGAAAAGTGCCTGTCCATAGTAAGTTCTCAATATGATTTTGTTATTTTATTATTGGGCAAAAGTTTCCCAGAAGAAGTGAGCCTGAAAGAGGAAAAGAATTTAGTCAAGGTCTAGAAAAGAGGGGGGAAGAATTTGCTTGGCAAAGGGACCAGCTTGTGCAAACCCCAGGAGGAGGGGAAAAAAATAGCTTGAAAATCAGCTGGTTTTTAAGTAGATCATTATACCTAATGCAAAAATCTGGAGTAAAGAAACTTTACAAAAAAGGAAAAAAAAAAAGGTGGAAGAGGAGCCATATTCTAAACCACACTGGGCTCTTTTAGTTTTTCAAGTCAGGTGGATTCGCTTCAATAGAAAATTCAGGTGATTTCCAACAGGGGGCACTATTCACATTCACATTTTCACGAATGATGCTCCCCACCTGTCTCCCACACAGAAGGAAGCCCTTGAAGTTGTTGAAAAGGCAAAATTCCTGAAAAGCTCCAGATTTTAAATTTAAAAGAAAGAGGTATTCATTTTTTATTGAAGTTAGATGATTTTACTTATTAGTTTGGAATATGCACGTTGCTGAATTTCTGTCCGGTCATTTTGTGTTTGTTTTGACGCTCATTTCTTTTTCTCTTTTCCGCCAGAGAATTGGATTTATCGCGTAGCCTCACTGCTATGCCTCACAGTCTATAACAGTATTCAGGTGGGTTCCAATATCAACACATGGTGTGCTGGTATAGTTCATTATCAGTGTTATTAGTAGACGTCAAAAATATACACAAAGTCCAGAGGATGGTGCCAAACACTTTTCCTGTGGGTAGTGTCTCAGTCCATATCCAGTCAACCATCATGGGCACTTTCCAGTCCATTATTGCCAAATTTTTCTCCATCCAGATAACAGTACCCTCATGTCTATCTAGCATGAAGGTGTTGGATTGACCTTAGGCCTTAGAGATGTCAGAGGGGAAACCTTTCTCTTGGGCAATTTGAATATTACCTGCCTCTCTTAGCACACTCAAGGAACCTCCTTCCCTAAAGCAAGAGTGAGAATTAGAAAAGAGTGAAGGTAACTCATTCATTCCACACTAATTTGTATTTATCTGATACTATGAAGAAGTTGTTTCTCTTCTGAGTTGCATTTACAATACAAATATTAGCCATGGTAGAGTGGCTTAGCTGTCCCTCAGTTCTTTCTCAATGATAGCAAGGTTATTCTGTTTGTTTGAACTTGCCTCATGTTTTGAAACCCAGTTTAATCATTTCCACAGCTTCCATTACTGCCATTTCTTCCTGTGACTTTGAAAGTTAACTAAATTACAGATGTATTTTTAAATAAATGCTTTTTTTTTAATATCACAGAGTAGGGTATAATTTGCAACATAAAAATGAATCATGTACTTTGTCTAAATGCAAATTTTGCATGAGACACCTATGAATGTTGATAGGTGAAAATAACCTAACTCTATACAATAATATAGGGTGACCTGTCTGCAAAATAACAAATTCGTTGGGCTTGGTTTACAAAACCATTGATAATCTCATCTCAGTGTACTGGGTTCATTTTTTGTTTTTATTGTTGTTCATCTGTCCTTGGCTTTCCTCTGTATTTGTTTTTCCTATATTTATTAAAACCCTATTATGTGACAGATGTGTGGGAATGCAGTGGTGAATTAGATAGTTTTTACCCTCAAAGAGATTGCAATCTAGTGGGAAATACAGGAAAGTAAGATACTCTGGTAATGGCATAGAATTAGAGACTTGGTGGTTGTTCCACCAAGGTTCTAATATGAATTTGTCTATGGGTTGAATTCAGAATGGGAAGGACCCATAATAATCCAGTGTTGTTTTTTTGTTGTTTTTTTTTAAATAATCCAGTGATTTTTAACAACCCCATCCCGGTTAACCTTGGGCTGTTTCCAGTGCTAATGTTGGTAAAGACACCAAGACTTGAAGAATTTGAGGCTGGTTCTGTGAGTTCAGATCTAAAGGGCAGGACAGGCTGCCTTTTTTTCTTTTTTTTTTTTAAGGCTTATTTATTTTTGAGAAAGACAAAGGCACAATGTGAGCAGGGGAGGAGCAGAAAGGGAGACACAGAATCCAAGGCAGGCTCCAGGCTCTGAGCTGTCAGCACAGAGCCTGACACGGGGCTTAAACTCATTAACTGTGATACCATTACCTGAGCCGAAGTTGGACACTTAACCAACTGAGCCACCCAGGCACCCCAGGGCCAGGACAGGCTTTCTGTGCTCAGGCCCAAACCAGACCTACACAGGCAGATCCTGTACTCCTCTGTCTCCAAATCATACCACCTGAATCCATACTATTATCTATCATTTACCTCTTCAGGATTAGAGTGGCTTTCCCATGTGACCAGAATAGCCTCCAAATACTATTGGCCTATATCTAGCTTTGAAATATTTTAAGCTTTAAATTCCTGTAACTTTCAGGGCACCCGGGTGCCTCAGTCAGTTAAGCATGTGACTTCAGCTCAGGTCATGATCTCATGGTTCGTGGGTGCGAGCCCCATGTCAGGCTCTGTGCTGACAGCTAGCTCAGAGCCTGAAGCCTGCTTCAGATTCTGTATCTCCCTCTCCCTCTGACCCTCCCCTGCTCACGCTGTCTCTCACACAAATAAATAAAAACATTTTAAAATTAAAAAAAAAAATTCCTGTAACTTCCATCCCATTTTAAAGCTTTTGTAAGTTAACATTTTGAATTTCTACAAAAGGGAAACCCCTTCTTTCAGAAGCATCCCAGCTATAGATGAAATGCCCAAGTTAGGAAATTACTATTTTATAACCCTCAACATATTTGATTCAGACAAAAATCATCAGAAGATGTTAAAACCATTACATGAAATACAGTCGAAAAGTAATATATTCAGTTGGTCTCAAAATATCACATACAGATATCAGCAAAAGGGAATAAATTCAGGATAGCATCAGAAAAGGAAGTGAACTAGAGACAACTTTCTAGAAGAAGGAAAACCATGTATTTGTATTGACCAGTGAATCAGTGCTGAGCATGACTGACAGTCCATATAAAACTTTCCCAGATTCTTTTCAAAAGATTTATAGAATGTAAGAACTAGAGAGAATCTCAGGGTTTGGTCATATCATCTAGCTAACCTCCTTCAATTTACAGTTAACATGATCATCTTTTCAGTCTTAAAAGATAAAGTTATTTTCTTAAACAGATATGGCCAAGTTCTATTGTTAAGTCATTGGCTGAGGGCTGCCTGGGAAGAACACAGCACAGCTTGAAAGCTCAAGTGGATCTTGAAAGCATTGACAACTGGAAGCTGTTAACTAATATGGTCCTTGCAGCTGGTTGGCACATTCTCTCTTTCTTTTTATGTTTATTTTTGAGAGAGAGCATGAACTGGGAGTGGGGGGAGGACCAGAGAGAGACAGGGAGATTGAATCGGAAGCAGGCTCCAAGATCTGAGTGATCAGCACAGAGCCTGACGTGGGACTTGAACCCACAAACCACGAGATCATAACCTGAGCCAAAGTTGGACGCTTACCTGACTGAGCCACCCAGGCACCCCAGCAAGTTCTTTCTTTAAGGGGAACTCAAGCAGATCATCTTCATGGTGGTCGCACTGCTGTTGATCAACCTAAGATACCACTCTGTTGCCAAAGTGCATAAGATATGTGCCGAGGGAGTTGGTGCCTCATGATAAGTGTGCTTCTGTACTGAGGGAGGAATCTCCTGAACTAGGAGGTCCTGGCCTCTTGTCATTATTTCTTTTTTTCCTCCTTTATGTCCTTTGCAGATATAACTGACTCTTTCTCGTTGTTAATGCTAATCACTACTATGTGAAACCAAGCAAACCATACTCTTAACTAGTCTCTCAATGCCCCATGGAGACTTAAGCATTTTTAACTAACCTGTCATTGGGGTTTCCTGGGGCTCAAGCATAGGCCTGTTGAAGCTGAACCCAAGGAAAGTCAGGATGACAATGTACATTGTCAGAATTACCTTCCCATCTCCATGTAGCTTGATGCAGGAACTTGAACTCCTCCTAACTCCCTCTTGTAATGACTTCTGAGGACCTCCTTA